TTTTTTTCTTGTAAATGCCAGCCATCACATAAATCTTTTGAAAGCAAATTGATTTGTAAAATTGCTAATTCATATTGATCACCATTGAAACTCCAGGTAATTCCCATTGTGCTGTTTTTTGTTGTACAGCAATACTTCACCCAGATTGATGGAAAATCAAGATTAATTTTTTTTGCTGTAAAAAGATAAACAAATTGATAATCTTAAATAATCTCGAATGAAAAATCTGGAAGATGTTATTGGTTTTTTTATCAAATTCTTCTTTTTTTTGAATCGAGTACTTAGTCTGTTCATACGTAGTTAAAAACTTTTTTGAAGATCCTTACTTACCTTCTCGTTCTTCTCGACCAGTAAGCGATCTTGTAGCTGATTTTAACAAAATAATTTTGTTGATCAATTGTTCAGCAAGATAAAGATGTTCTGGATCATTAAGTATGGCTTTTAATTTAAATGAATTTGCATTCAATGATGATAATGTATGACGAATACGACGACTCTCTTTTGGATCACCACCAACGACTAATAATCTTAAATTAGATACTGTTGTTGCTGATGAATATATTTGTTCAGATATACGAAGATAAAGATTATCTTTAATTGTACTAACAAATTGTTTCATAAGTAAAGCCAATACTTTATCTGGTGATAAACCCTTTTCATCTTTTGGATAAGTATAATGATCAAGTACACAAATTTGTTCATCACAATAGGTAAAATCGAACAAGAAACAAATGCAAGAACCAAGATAATCCGTACCAATGGATGTTGTACTTTTATCAGAATCATTAAAGTTGACTGTGACTTCGACGGATGGCACAAGAACAGTTGTTATACCTTCGTATGTATTTGACATATTAATGTAATCTAGAAGATAATATTCACTTTATTAAAAAATTAAAAATTAAAAAAGTAAATAAACAAATAAATAAATTCTTTCATTTCTTTACTATATATGTTTTCTATTCGTTCAAGATACATGAACTTAACACTCGAATGATATTTTACAGGAAAGAAACAAAATTTATCCATTGAATCCCAGGGTAACATACATATCTATTTTTGTATAAATTTTCTGTAGACAGGATAAGAAACTTTCAAATTTGTTGGTATAGATAAATGAATAAGAATCAATATTTTCACAAACCAAAAATCTGAAAGATTTATTACCTTTGTACAGAATATTTGTACAAAATTCTACATGTTTGTCTTCCTCGGTATTTGATTTTGTTTGCGCAAATTAAATTTGTTTATGAACTTCATCGTAAACAAAGAATACTTAAGCAGGAATATCCTAAATGTATAACAAGCCGATTTGCTAAATCTAATTATTTATTAAAACATCAACAGTAACATTAGATCTAATGAAGAGAAGTTTCAACAGGTTTATTTCCTATTGCATTAAATTAGTCTTATTAATTTAAAATTATATTCTTCTAGCTTGCGTCTCTAACTGTATCATCATCTGTAGATATTTCATGACGTCTTCCATTAACTCGTACAGATATTGATTATTTATTACATGTTATATCCTTTGAATCACTTCGTGATCAAAATAGTTGTTAGACAGCGTTACCTTTCAATTTAATTCATATAGGTCAAACTTGAAAGTTGAATTCGACTATTCAGCTTATTTTATTGAGACGAAAATTGAGAAAAAAATTTGAATTCAAGAATTTATTTAAAATATTTGGAAAAATTATTTTCAAAGTAAATTTTTTTTACAATTATTACAGAAAAAATTACTTGTTATTTAAGTCAAATCGAAAATTTACTCACATGTTAATATTCTATTTATTTCAAAACAATTTTTTATTTATCAGAAAGCTCATCATTTTATTCAAATGACATCGAGCGATGAATTTAAATGTAAGTATTTAAACAAAAATTTCTGTAAGATTACTTTTCGAATCAAAATCTTTTCAATTGATATTAAAATAAATTATCTTTTACTAGATTATGTGAGACCAGCGCTTCTAACAGAAGTCTAAACACAGAATGCAAATGGGTACTTCATTTCTACTCACAAAGTATCTATTCGTATTTTGTTCTAGATAACAAAGTACCTCAAAGTACCAGGGCTGAAAACTGATTTAAGAGAAACGAAGACAAAGTTATTATTAATGCCATATTTTGATTCAAAACATATTCTTATTAAAAAAACAATACAATACAGATGAACAACTCAAATATATACATTTAATATAGTATCGATATCAAACAAATTGATAAACCCGATGAATATATTGAATAAGAAATAATTATTTGACAAGAACATTGAAGATCAGTATAAAAAAAATATCGCACTCTAAAAGGAGATATAGAAATACCGATCATGAATTCGATTCGAATAACTGAAGAGAAAAAAACGTTCTTTGCTCTATCTACAAGTAAAATGCATACACAAGAGGACGACGAGCAACTTTTAAATAATGATGAAAAATTGACAAAGTGCGTTTTTATCTTACAAAGTACCCTTAAAATACTTTTTTTTCGCAAAGTACAAAACACAGTACTTATCCAAAATCGTAAGTACCTTGGGTACTTAGCTGTTGCGTGAGGTATTTAACGTTAGAAATATTGCATCAAACGATGTATTAGAATGGAAGTGTTTATTTTAAAATAATTTTTTTAAAAGTTACTTTTACATGAAATTATTTTTTAACTTATTTAAAAGCAAATTATCTTTCATTTAGGACATATCGCATAAATTTTATTAATATAAATATTTGATTTTTTTTTCTAAGACATTATTTTTTAATTTAGATTTAATCGAACGATATAAATAACGGGTGGCCCATAAAGAATTGCCCTCTTAGTATTTTAAACATTTCTCCTCTATTATCCCTGTGATTCAAACACCTTCTTTTATCAAAAGATAGCGCTTGAAATTCTCTACAAAATCATATATGACTAGACCTTAAAACTGCTTTAGACATATCTGAAAAAAGATGAAAAATGAAAACACACAAAAAGCGGTAACAAGTAACAGGTTGTACATTAATGAATGGCCACGCTTTGCATTCTATTTTTTCATCACTTACTTCGCCCTATTAGATAAATAAAGTATACCAAAAGATGCAGCTTGAACAGCTCTACAATTTACACAAGGTCTGCTATTTTGCAGTCACACTTTTTGTTTTCAAAATGGACAAAATTTTGAGCAATCGAATTTTGACCGTGCGAAAATGATATTTTTTTTAGTACAAGATGAATTCTTTTTTTCTTATTTTCTCTTTTTTATAATTTGTTCTTTGTAAATTGTATAGTTTTTCACGCTGCATCTTGTGGTGTATTTTATTTTTTTTTAAATAAAACATATCAGGTAATAAGAAGATGAAATAAGAAAAAACGAATTCATCTTGTACTAAAAAAAATATTATTTTCGCACGGTCGAAATCTGATCGCTCAAAATTTTGTCCATTTTGAAGACAAAAAGTGCAACTATAAAATAGGCGGTCTTATATAAATTGTAGATATTTTCACGCTGCATCTCTTGGTTTATTTTGTTTTTTAATAGGACGAAGTGATGAAAACATTAGATACAAAGCGCGATCCTTCGTTATGTACAACCCATTATTTTTTACAGCTTTTTGTGTGTCTTCATTTTGCATCTTTTTTCAGATATATCTAAAATAGTTTTAAGGTCTAGTCATATGTGGTTTTGTAGAGAATTTCAAGCGCTATCTTTTGATAAAAAAAGGTGTTTCAATCACCGGGATAATAGAGGAGAAATGTTAAAAATACTAAGAGGGCAATTCTTTATGGGCCACCCGTTATAAGCTTTTTTTAGTTTAAAAATAGTTAAGTTTTTATTTATTCTCAAATTAAGATCTTTTTACTTTGGTTTAAAATATTTTTTTTTAATTTTATTTCCTAACGAATAGTTGAATTAAATATCAGTATTTATTTATTTTTAAATAATTTGTTTTATTTATTTTAAAGGAAATAATTTTATTTAGAACAAATTGAACGACGCATTTAAATGTGAATATTTGTTTTCACACAAATCATTTTTTTGTTTAGGCCCAATGGAATATTTATTCAAATACATTCAAGAGGATGGAATTTCTGGGGTTTTGTATTCTGCGATTGGTGAAGTTTACTATTCTTTGAGATGTGCTTTTTTACAATTCTTGTGCATATGTACGTTTTTGAGCAACGTTTTCGCTGTCTGTTCACTGTTAACCCACGAAAAATTTTTCGGTATTCCATGGAAGGTGTTTGATATTCTGTACGAACATAGGCACTGTTTGAAGATATCTGATATATGATTGATGTTCGTGGTAGCTTCCATGGCTCTCGATGTGGGGGG